AATTAATATTTACTCTTACAAAATAGGTTCTTGTAAGTTAACAAACAATTATGCAGATATTACTAAGTAAATGTACTTGCTTAAAATTCACACACAAATGTGGTTTTAACTTGTTAAATTAACTAACCCTTCTTATAACTCTTTCCACATGTATTCTTAGAGATGCTATTCATTTACTTAATTGTACATCTTCTGGAGAACTTTTTTCATTCTGTGATACACTAGGTGTGGCTTTACTAAAGTGCATCCCATGTTTTCAAGTAGCTAAATATTCTGAAACCCATATCTGCCATTATATGGGATCCAGGAACCAGTTTGTTTAAATACCCACATTTTTCTATTATTTCTTTATCACTAGTTCTTCCACAAAATGATGAATAAATTCGGTATCTTCAAAACTTTCAGGAGATTCTGCATTTTCTTCCAGAAGGGTTTTTAGGTTATACACCTAGTAGCCTCATTTTCAATTTCCTGAAGGGGACAATTAGCAGAAATTGCTGCTATTCTACATCTTGATAATCCGGTGTATTTTTATTAAAAAGTTTACGAGAAACATCGCTAGTAGAAGGTTGATTTTCTTCTTTCCAAATTTCTAGGAACACTAATAAATATTTTTGAAGATGAATGTGAATCATTATCACATTCTGGAACAAAACACTTTTTCGTAGTCATAATATTTATTTATAAAAAGTACAAAATAAACACTCAAATTCCAAATAAATTATTGATGGAGACACTATGACAGATGACATACAGTGCTGCCGTTTTGCCATTTTCTGAATTATTAAGTGACTTTTAAAACAATAAAACTTTAAATATAGTAAAAGTTTTAACAGAAACAATACTTTCAAAAAACATTTGATATTATATATTTAAAAGATATTTGTTTAACGATGTTTTAGAAGTCTAAAAGTAAGAAGGAGTACACAAACGAACGTACATCACTTCTCGTAAACCTTCTAGCCGGCAACGTTGTGCGCTAGCTCCTATTGGTCTATTCCCGGTGACGTCATTAATTTTAAAAAAATTCATAACTCCGGCAAATGAATAGATAAAAAAAAAATAAAAAATATGTAGTTTTATTTTTAACTCTACTATTCATAAAAAAAATTTCAAAATTTTTGAACATGCCCCATTCGACACATTTGTTCAAAAACTTGTTGCTAGGTGATACCTACCAAGCAATTATTCTCACTACAATAATAATGTTGTGATTGGACAGAATTAAACACTGGTCCATAAATACTGCCAAACAATTGGTTAAGGAAATCATTAAAAAATTATATAAAAATATCCTTGAGTCAACAAAAGTATAAATACATAAACAACAATAAACAAACATTTAAAAATATATTGGATGGAAGATGGCCATAATTCATGAAGTGCGATACTGGTGCCATCTATCAACAGATAGTCACACTATCGAGTTGCACCTATTACTTGTAGAGGCCGAAAATTGATTTTAAATTAACGCACATTTCTCTCACGCTCGTGGAGGAACGATTATTACTCACGTTCAGGCCTCGCAACGAAATCGAGACAGGCGTAACAAAAAAGCTACAAAAAAGTTACAAAAAATGAGCCTGGTCCGAGCTGGTGCCGCTACAAATATCCGCTAAGCTAGCGGATCCGCGCTTTTCTCAGGTTCAGTACAAGCTACAAAAGGGAGACTAGCGTAACAAAAAAGCTACAAAAAAGTTACGAAAAACCAGCTGGGTCTGAATCTGTGCCGCTACTATGGAATTTATGGAAATTCAAACTAGTGGATCCGCTGTTTTTTCGGACCTGGGCTAAGCTACAAATTTGAAAATGGCGTAACAAAAAAGCTACAAAAAAACCGCCAGGTCTTGAATGGTGCCGCCACAGAGTGCCCGCTAGCTTGATATAGCTAGTTAGACGATAATTGATGAAATTAATTCTCTCACTCATACTCATATTTAAATATTTTTTAATCCAAAAGTAAAAATAAAACATTAAATATAGCGAAAGTAAAAGTTGGAAAGGGTTTTGGTAGGTAGAGAGGGGGTAAACATCAAACCACGTCGGACGGCTTCGAGAATTTCGCAGTAATGTTTGGCTATATCAAGCTAGCGAGCACTCTGTGGCGGCACCACACAAGACCTGGTGGGTTTTTTGTAGCTTTTTTGTTACGCTATTTGCGAATTTGTAGCTTTGCCCAGGTCCGAAAAAACAGCGGATCCGCTAGCTTGAATTTCCATAGTAGCGGCACAGATTCAGACCCAGCTGGTTTTTCGTAATTTTTTTGTAGCTTTTTTGTTACGCTAGTCTCCCTTTTGTAGCTTGTACTGAACCTGAGAAAAGCGCGGATCCGCTAGCTTAGCGGATATTTGTAGCGGCACCAGCACGGACCCGGCTCATTTTTTGTAACTTTATTGTAGCTTTTTTGTTACGCCTGTCTCGATTTCGTTGCGAGGTCTGAACGTGAGTAATAATCGTTTCTCCATGAGCGTGAGAGAAAAGTGCGTTAATTTAAAATCAAGGTTCAGCCTCTACAAGTAATATGTGCAACTCGATAGTGTGACTATCTGTTGCTAGATAGCACCAGTATTGCATTTCACGAATTATGGCCATCTTCCATCCAATATATTTTTGAGAAATTTAGATATAATCTCAGAATCGGACATTTTCAACGGTATGTATATTAATTATTTGTCCGATATTAATGTAAAATACATATTGACAAGATTATTAAAATAGTTGTATGCCGGACGCCACTATTATCCCGATCGGGTGTTTTCGGTTATTTTTACTGCTAAAACTTACTGCTAACTTCACACCGGTGGTAATAGCTACCAAGCAATTACCTATTCTCACTATATACAGGGTGTTCCATCTCAGACGAGCCACCCCGTATATTTCTTATCCCATAGTAATTGGAAAATTTTCCCGAAACACGTCGGATGATTTTCTTTGGGGGACACCTTTTGACGTATATTTGAGGCTTGAATGAGCAACCCCCTGCTATAAGGGGGCGTTTGAACCCCTCAAAATTGAATAGGGAAGAGGGGTTGAGTGATACTTTATTTGTAAGGTCCTGGAAGCATATTTACAACGGTGTATGAAAAAAATCACATTTTTAAAAAAAATAAAATGTTTTATCATGCTTACAATCAAAAAAATCAAAACTGCGTTTTTAAATGAAATGTTCAAATTGTCCTCCATTGACTTCCATACAATAATAAATTCTCTCGAACTAATAAATAAAAAAAATCAAAACATTTTCATATCTTGCCTTCATTTTTTGTTTATCACGTTTCTTCGATCATTAGTAATAAAACAATTAATTTTTTTTAAGAATGTGATTTTTTTCATACACCGTTGTAAAGAGGCTTTCAAGACCTTACAAATGATGTATCACTCAACCCTTCTTCCCTATTCCATTTTGAGGGGTTGAAGCGCCCCCTCATGGGGTTGCTGTTTCGAGCCTCAAATATACGTCAAAAGATGTCCCCCAAAGAAAATCATCCGACGTGTTTCGAGAAATTTTTTCAATTACTATGGGATAAGAAACATACGGGGTGGCTCGTCTGAGATGGAACACCCTGTATAGTTGTGATCGGACAGAATTAAACACTGGTCCATAAATATTGCAAAACGATTGGTTAACGAAATCATTCAAGGAGAGAGAGAGAGATATGCTTTATTGTCGTAAAAAAATTTACAAAAATTTTATAGACAAAGCGTGTAACTTAAATACTAAACATATTATAAAAATAACTAAACAGCAGAAAAAACAAACAGAAACAAACAGACAAAATAGGAATAACAATTGCAATGGATATGCAATATCCGTCATTATAATTATTCTAATTTAATTTTTAAATTTAAATTTAAACTTTAATATTTAATTATTTAATTAATGCCATTGTATGTGGAACTCAAATGTCTAAGGTACGTTATAAAATTCTGCTACTGTGTAATATGGTCTTTCTAGAAGAAAAGCTTTAGCCAGTCTTCGGAACTTATCGTATGTATTTATAGATTTTAATTGCATCGGAAGGTTATTATACAATTTTTTGGCATTGTAGGTAATGGAATGTTTTAATAGGTCAGAAGTGGGCATTGTTAAATAAACATCAGTCTCTAAATTTCTTGTAGGATATCTACGAGTCGGTCTTTCGGATAAATTTTGAATGTGCTTGCGAACTAAGCAGACGGATTCGAAAATAAATAGAGCAGGAAGGGTTAGAATTTTGAAATTTTTGAAGTAATTTTCGCAATGTGTCCTACTACTTAAACCAAATACATAGCGGATTGCTCTTTTTTGCAGTTTAAAAATAGATTCGAAAAGGTATAAGCTACAAGAACCCCAGAAAGGTAAACCATAGCGAAGGTGAGATTCGAATAAGGAAAAGTATAGGTTATTAATGCAGTAGGAGGAGTCAGCTCTTTAGAAACCGATTTAATGGCAAAACATGCGGAGGATAATTTTTTTGCTAAGGTATCTATATGAGCAGACCATTTTAGAGAATCAAGAAAGATGTAAGAATATTCTTGATTCAACAAAAGTATAAATACATAAACAACACTAAAAAACATTTAAAAACAAATGTCCGATTTTGAGATTATATCTAAATTTCTCAAAAATATATTGGATGGAAGATGGCCATAATTCGTGAAATGCAATACTGGTGCCATCTATCAACAGATAGTCACACTATCGAGTTGCACCTATACTTTGTAGAGGCCGAAACTTTATTTTAAATTAACGCACTTTTCTTTCACGCTCATGGAGAAACGATTATTACTCACGTTAAGGCCTCGCAACGCAATTGAGACAGGCGAAACAAAAAAGCTACAAAAAAGTTACAAAAAATGAGCCGGGTCTGAGCTGGTGCCGCTACAAATATCCGCTAAGCTAGCGGATCCGCGCTTTTCTCAGGTTTAGTACAAGCTACAAAAGGGAGACTAGCGTAACAAAAAAGCGTATATGGTGCCGCCACAGAGTGCCCGCTAGCTTGATATAGCCCATTTAGGAACGCTTTTTTGAGTTTAGACAACGTCCGGACGCATTTACCCTACATTTCTGAACGCACCCCTCAGGGCAGCGCCGGCAGCGCGGCAGCGTCTCAAACAAAATCAACAACTGTCAATACTGTCATCAACGGTCAACTTTTTGAATATAAGAAAATAAAAAGTTTGAACAAGTGATCAACGATCCTCTGGTCCTCTAGTTCTTCAGAAAAAACTCCATCACTTTTGTTATAAAACTGTTTTTGAGATAACATGGATAGACGTCTGGAAATATGTGATTGGTTTCGAAAAATGGGGTATGATGGAGATTTTCCAGAAAACCTGGATAGGTACGGATATTTCTTTTCTTAACTGCAATTAAATTGATTTTCGAAAACTAATAGCTAAGTTTAAACTGATCGGGTATTATTTTAGGTATTGACTAGGTACCACTTAATTTTAAAACATTTTTCAATATTATTAACCTGCCTCAAAAAATTAGTAGGTTCTCAAATCGTAGAAATATACGTTGGCCTCAGGGGTGGTCCCTTATAAATTTGCTCAATATCTGATAATGTGATCCATGAGAAAAATCATCATTCTTTATTTATTATGTATATTTTGCAATAATTCTTTACTACATTTTCCGATTTCTATATGATTCTTTTTTGTTAGAAAGAGGGTACCACCTCAGGGGTGGTTCTATTTAAATTTAGTCAAGATCTGATGCTAGGACCTAGGAGAAAATCAGCAAACTAAATTTAAATAATTGACTAAATATAAAAAAAACCTTAGTTTGGAACTCTGTGGCTTTAATTATAAATGTAAATTATTCTGGGTAATATTAAGTGATTATATTATGACACACACCACAAGGGTACATTTCTACAGTATGTTCGAACATGTCTTTATATTTAATGATTAAAACATTTTAAACTCATTTTAAATATTTCAAGCATGTACTTATATTAAATATTTCAGTTTAGTCTTCAAGTTTTATTTGATTTATATAAAGCACATTATTTTTTTTAGGATTTGTAACAATTCAACATCTTTTATATGGGATCAGTTGATCGAAAATACAAAACCTAAAGCAGAAGCAGAAAATATAAAGCATAATATTCTTGCTACACGCCTAACAAAGTTTAATTTAAAAAAAGATGTATGTAGTTTTAATACTTAATAGAATTATGAAACATAACATTAAACTGTTTTAGGGAGAAATTAAATATCCATTAAAAGAGATAAAATTATATTCAAGAAAAAAAGATTTAGAAAAGGAATTGGAAAATATAAATTACTCGATATCAGAAAAACAAAAAACATATTTGAAATTACAACAGGAAAATAGAATTAAACGTAAGTACAAATACACTTTTTTGTTTTTAAGGTGAATCAAAATTTCCAAGTAATTCTTCTAGGGGTGATAGAAAATCTTATAAGGTAGTGGACAAAAAGCCAGCATAACTCTTAATAATTATTTTTAGGTTTTTCTATAGAAAAAACACAATTGAAAATAAAAGAAAATGAGGAACGAGAATTTATTTTAAAAGAGAAATGCAAGATACTAGAAAGTGATACCAAATGTGCTGGTCACATTATTGAGTCGAAAATAAATACTACAGCAAGTGAGCAAGAAAATATTAAAGATATTACGGTAACAGGATTTCTATTAAATATTTTAGATTTAATTATATAATTTGAAGAATAAAAAATCAATTTCAAATAATTTAGAAAATATGCTTCTTGACAAAAGTATAATATTTCTTAAATACATCATAAAAGTCTGTAGAAAATGCTAGGTACTTTTCAGCATTTTAAAAATATGTTTAAGACTGTATACAGATAACAAAAGTATAGTAATCATGATTTTTTTGACATTTTGGGGTCCCCTGAATCAGTTTTCACTATTTTTGTAATGATTCCTGTGTGTGTATGTGTCTGTATAGTCCATAGCTCATTAACAAATACAGAGAACAACACCAATTTCTAAACTTAAGCTTTAACACATCCTACTGTGGGCTGATTAGATTTTGGGTATAGTTAGAATATCGGGGGGTACTTTACAGGGGGTCGTTTTTCTATTTTATGGAATCTTTATAATTTTTGCCCTATACAAACTTTTTCTAAAATGGTTCATATTTGAGAAATTTGACAAAACAAAACATTCAAAGTTTTAAGAAAATTATTCAAATAAAAGTTGTTTAAATTCAAAGAAGGCAGCAGAGTACCTAAGCAGTTTTGAGATGAAACCTATGCCATATTTTTAGGCTATTTTTATACCCTATTCAAAAATTTTATGCTCCTCTTTTTGGCAAAAATCAAGATGCTCTGCTAGTTTCAAATAAAGTTAGCAGAGTACCTCAGTTTTTTAAAGCTTCTAAAAATAACCACACCACATTTATGAGCTGTTTTTAGGCTCTTAAAATATTATAAAACTTTACTAAAAAATTGCAATTTATAAATAATACAGGGTGCTTTGTTGGAACAAAGTCAGCAGAGCACCACAGCTTTTTAAAGCTTTTTCTAAAAACATTTACACCGCATTTTTAGGCTATTTTTTGGTTCTTGAAATATTATAAAACTTCAAAAAAATTAGTATTTTTAAAAAAAATTACAGGATGCTTTGCTAGCTTCGAACGAATACAGCAGAGCGCCTAGATTTTTTAAAGCTTTTTCTAAAAACAACCACACCACATTCATGGATATTGTTAGGCTTTTGAAATATTATAAGACTTTTCTAAAAAATTCTTATTTTTAAATAATACAGGGTGCTTTTGTTAGAACAAGTGAGCAGAGCACCTTAGTTTAACTATTTTTTTTTCTTCTGAAAACAACTACTTATGCCACATTTTTAGGCTATTTTTAGGGTCTTGAAAATGATCAAAATTTTGAAAAAAATTGTATTTTTTAAAAAATATAGGGTGCTTTGCTAGTTTGAACAAATCCAGCAGAGCACCTCCGTTTTTTAAGCTTTTTTCTAAAAACCACACCACATTTTTAGGCTATTTTTAGACTCTTAAAATATTATAAAACTACTAAAAAATCTGATGTGTCCAACACATGACTTTCCTATCTAGTTATTATAGGCTTTTTCAGGTTATTTTGTTCAACCTATTGCAACACCTCTATAATTGTTTAGAGGATAAACTAAATATATACATTTTCCACATACAACTTAACTAAGTACACTCAGTATTTAGTTTTTTAAAAAGATTTATTTAATTTAAAGTACAACTTTTCATATCAAGAACAGATTCTAAACTGAATATCAAGAAAGGAAATATAATATAACAGGTTGATTACACCTAAGGTGGAATGACACAAACTAATCTAATGCAATAGTCAGCAGTTCCAAGGTTAAAATGAGGCTTCTTGCGGAAGTCGAATATGTCCTTCTTCAGGAGTTGGTTCTGGTGGGGATTTTTCCTTCTTCTTCTTAGGCATCTTCTTGTGGATAATAAAAATAATTGTTACTGCTACTCCAACGTAAAGAATAATTGTCCATGCACTAGGAATATGATACTTAAAATGTTCGTTTATTATAGGTATTGGTCCATTTGAACTGATTTCTTTTAGTTTTAAACTTTTTAAATTTAATTTCATTGGCAACAGATTTATTTTTTCAAAATACAATTTTGGTTTATTTATTATAATTGGTTGTCCAAATGATTTTACATGGTGAATTATCAATTAAAAATATTCCAGATAGGATTTTAATTTCCTTGCAAGCATTGTATTGATAATTTTTCTTCTTGAGGAAATATTGCCAAAAATTGATTTGTTTCTGGTATAATTTCTATATGATTTTTAGAAATATCTACCTTAACATATTGACATTGGCTAGAATTTCCTTTTAGTAAAATTTCTTTTTCGCATAATTGTTCATTATTATTTTGTAAATGGCTAGGACATTGGCATTTTTTTACCGCGTGTGCAAATATCGTTTAGAGGCTTTATTTGATTTCCAGATTTTAATAAATATTTTGTGTTTGGCATTATTATAACAAATTCTGATTCAAATTTAGTGGGAATTGGCAGTAAATAATATAGTTCAAATTCTGTTTCAAAATCAATAGGAATTGATAGAAAATATTATATTTAATTTTTTTCTAATTTACAGTTAACCTCTAAGATTGATTCAAAATTTAAAATATTTTCATATTTTACTTCTAATGGTAGCTGAAATTGATAATGAGAAGAAATCTTTTTTAATTCTAAAAATAGCTCATGTGATTTTATAGGGTGAATGGTTTTCAGTTTATAAAATGTTATGGAATTTTCTACGTTTTCCATTATGTCCAGGATTAAATTATAAATTATCAATAATTCGTTAAATAAGTCTTTTAAGTAAATTACATTTTCAAATTTTGCTTGAAAATCTACAATGTCTTTAATTTCTAGTATTTTAGATTTGAAATTAATTTCATTTTTTTGGATATCTTGAATTGTTTGATTAAAATTATTTATTATCTGGCTACTGACAGAATATTGCATTTTTAATTGATTCTGTAAATTAGCTTGATTTTCTTTTAAATGTTCTAAAATTGAATTTATTCTTTCTCCATCTTGGGAGTCTAAATTTCCGGTAATGGCTTTAAGAACTGATCCAAACCCATTTATTAAACCTCTTTTATTTTTTTCTAAAAGTGAGTGAATATTAAGATTGTTAAATTTTTCTTCTATATTTTAAGATAAACTATAATATTAACGAAATTCTCAGTTTCTATACTGAAGAATGTATTATTTGAAATATTATTTTTAAGATGGTTAAACTGTATGTTTAAATTATTGTATTCCTGCAATAGCTGGTTTTAAGGGCCACTTTTTTCACCTCTGAGTAAAGTTGAAAGTAACTACTTGCTGATTAAACTATAGGGCTATTGTTTGTTAATCTGTCAAGTAATCCTACATATAACTTTACTCAGAGGTGAAAAGATCGGCCCTAAATCGTAAAAATGCACGAATGTGTGCCTAGATTTTTGAAGTTTGGCAGGACCTAGATTAATTGGTAGGATACCTAAATTGTGGGTGATGTCTTTTATGTCTACTGATGCGATAAGGGTTTCTTTTAGGACGTTTAATATTTGATAAATGAATATCTTCGGCAGTATTTTTATGTCTAGTGATAATTTTAGCAGTATTTCTTTCTAGATTTGTATCTTTAATTTCTTCAGCTTGATATTTATTTTTTGTTTTACTTTGTTTTTGTCTGTTACGAACAAATACTTTAGAAGGAATTTCATCGATTAACTTTTCTCGCTTTTCATTAGCTTTGGTAATAACTTTTTCTTTGGTTTCTTGTATATTTTTATTTAATTGTGAATATAATATTTTCATTTTTTCTTTGTGATCAGAAATATAATTATTTATTAATTGTTGCTTTATATCTAAATCGAAAACGGAATTATTTTCTAAATGACCTGTAGTAATTTCATAAGGTTTTAATTTTGTTACTATTATTATACGCTAAAAGTGCGTAATTAACTTTTTGTTCTATAGGTTCAGTTTTATATTCGTTTTGGTTATTTAGTAATATAATATGTTCAATAATAGAAGAATGAAATCTTTCAGCGATGCCGTTGGATTCTGGATGTTGTGAGCTAATGAAATGAATTTTTAATTTGTGAAGATTTAATAGATCTTTTACAAGTGAATTTTTTAATTCTGTACCGTTATCAGAAATTATTTGTTCTGGTATACAGTGATGAGTAAAATATTTAATTAGGCTATTGACTACTTCGATTCCTTGTGCGGAATTAATTTTGTATAATTGACCATACTTTAAAATGAGTCTATTATAGTTAAAAATTTATTATTTACTAATGTTATTGTATCTAAATGTAATATTTGGAAAGGTTTAATCGCTGTAGGAGTAATATTATAAATAGGTTTAATAGGTTTTCTATCGTATTTTGTTAATTGACATATTTCACAGCTGTTAATGTAGGTTTGAATTGATGAATAGGCCAATAATATAATGTTTTAATTCTAAATTCTGTTTCATCTATACCTCTATGATTTTGTTTTCCTTCGTGATAATTTTTTATTACATCTTCAACTTCATTGGTTGATCGGTTGATTCGGGACGGTGGTGTAGCGGTCTAACGCGCTTATATTGATTTATAGGCAAGTTTATGAGTCCGAGACTGCTTGGCTTCGGGTCCCAGACAGGACCATGTGGATTTTTAATTAAATTGCATGGTTCGGTTTAGGATTTGATGTGTGCCGTATTAATAGAAATCCAATTTCTGTTGATATGACATGCAGATTATAAAATCGCCATGCATTACCGTCTCGATGATGGTGGGTGGGGTTTTCCGGGTTTTCCTCACCTGTAAGTCAAATGGCACCATCAATCATCTTTAACTCGCCCCGGAGCGCCACGGCAAATAATAATAATAGCCGTCCCTTTCCCCGCATAAGCTCAGCTTTTGGGGTTAAAATTCACTCGTAAGGGGGTGAATTAGGGAGAGTATTATTATTGTATTATTTAATGGGACATCAATAAATTTTTTGGAACATTTTATAAATGAAATTTGGGAATTTTTGAAAAATTGTTGTACAACAACGCTAAATTTTTCATATAGGGGATCTTCAAAATTGATATGATATTTTACTTTTGGTACTACGTATTCTTTTACAAATTTGATAACA